ATCTGTTAGTTTTTTATAATCGTTGTTACACACTTTCCTCTTTTTTTTTTTGCGGTACACGGGCCTCTCACTGTTGTGGCCTCTCCCGTTGTGGATCACAGGCTCCAGATGCGCAGGCTCAGCGGCCATGGCTCACGGGCCCAGCCACTCCGTGGCATGTGGGATCTTCCCGGATCAGGGCACGAACCCATGTCCTCTGCATTGTCAGGCAGACTCTCAACCACTGTGCCACCAGGGAAGCCCTGCACACTTTTTTTTTTTTTTTTTACTTGGGTTAGTTTTCATCTTATTGAGTTATGTTTTTTATTATGGATATAATTCTTTTATCAAATATGACTTTTCCTCCTATTTTGTGACTTCATTTTTATTTTCTTAATAGTGAAAAACAACTTTTTCCCTATTTCCATGGTTCATTTATTTATTTTTTTCCAGTTTTATTGAGATATAATTGACATAACAGGACTAAGTTTAAGGTATAGAGCATAATGATTTGACTTACATACATCATGAAATGAACACCACAATAAGATCGTAAACATTCATCATCTCATATAGATAAAAAATTAAAGAAACAAAAAAATTTTTTTTTACTATGAGAACTCTTAGGATTTACTCTCTTCACAACTTGTATATATAGCACAGAGCAGTGTTCATTATATATATCCTGTCGCACATTATACCCCTAGTACTTACTTAAACTGGAAATTTACGCCTTTTGACTACCTTCATCCAGTCTCCCTCCCCCTACTCCCTGCTTCTGGTAGCCACAAATCTGATCTCTTTTTCTAAGAATTTGTTTGTTTGTTTTTGAAATATAATAGACCTACAATACTTTGTTAGTTCTTGGAGCACAACATACTGATTCAACATTTCTACATATTTCAAAATGTTCACTAGGATAAGTCTAGTTACAATATGTCAGCATACAAAGATATTACATAATTATAATTGTGTGATTGTATTCCCCACACTGTACATTTCATAACATAACCATGACTCATTTACTTTGTGACTGGAAGTTTGTACCTCTTAATCTCCCTCACCTATGTCTCTCATCTCCCCAACCCCCTCCCCTGTGAGAACCACTTGTTTATTCTCTGTATCTATAATTCTGTTTCTGTTTAATTATGTTTGTTCATTTGTTTTTTAGATTCCAGATATAAGTGAAATCATATAGTATTTGTCTTTCTCTGTCTGATTTGTTTCACTTACTGTAATACCCTCTAGGTCCATCCCTGCTGTCACAAATGGCAAGATTTCATTCTTGTTTGTGGTTGAGTAATAATTCCATTGTATGTAACTGTGTGTGTGTGTGTGTGTGTGTGTGTACCACATCTTCTTTATTCATTCATCTAGGACACTTAGGTTGTTTCCATATCTTGGCTGTTGTCAGTAATGCTGCAGTGGACTTAAGGGTGCATATATATCTTTTTGAATTAGTGTTTTTGTTTCTTTTGGGTAAAAAATACCCAGAAGTGGAATTGCTGGATCAAATGGTAGTTCTATGTTTAATTTTTGAGGAAGCGCCATACTGTTTTCCACAATGGCTGCACCAGTTTACATTCCCACCAACAGTGCATGAGTGTTCCCCCTTTTACACATCGTCGCCAACACTTGATATCTCTTGTCCCTTTCGTTGTAGTCATTCTGACAGGTGTGAGGTGATATTTCATTGTGGTTTTGTCTCGCATTTCCCTGATGATTAGTGATGTGGAGCATCTTTCTGTGTGTCTGTTGGCAATCTGTATGTCCCTTTTGGGAAAATGGCTCTTCAGATCCTCTGCCCATTTTTTAATTCCATTTTTTGTTTGTTTGTTTGTTTGTTGGATATTGAGTTATTTATACATTTTGGATATTAACCTCTTTCCAGATATATAATTTGGAAATATCCTTTCCCATTCAGTAGGTTGCCTTTACATTTTGTTGAGGGTTTCCTTTGCTATGCAAAATCTTTTTAGTTTGATGTGGTCCCATTTGTTTATTTTTGCTTTGGTTGTCTTTACCTGAGGGAACAGACCCAAAAAATATTATTAAAACCGATGTCAAAGTTTCCTGCCTGTGTTTTCCTCTAGGACTTTCATGGTCTCAGGTCTTACATTTTCAGTTTAATTTTGTATATGGTATGAAAAAGTGGTCCAGTTTCATTCTTTTCCATGTAGCTGTTCACTTCTCCCAACACCATTTACTGAAGAGTCAGTCTTTTCTTCATTGTACAATATAGTCTTGCCTCTTTTGGCATAGATTAATTGACCATAAAAGCATAGGTTTATCTGGGCTGTCTATTCTGTTCCATTGATCTGTGTGTATGTTTTTGTGCCACTACCATACTGTTTTGATTACTGTAGTTTTTAGCATAGTTTGAAATCAGGGAGTATGATACCTCTAGCTTTGTTCTCCTTTCTCAAGATTGTTTTGGCTATTCTGGGTGTTTTATGTTTCCTAATGAATTTTAGAATTATTTGTTCTAGTTCTGTGAAAAATGCCATTGGTAGTTTGATTTTATTGCATTGAATCTGTAGTTTGCCTTGGGTAGTGTGGTTATTTTGACAATATTCTTCTAATTCACGAGAATGGTATATTTTTCCATTTGTTTGTTTAATCTTCAGTTTCCTTCATCAGTGTCTTATAGTTTTCTGAGTCGAGTCTTACCTCCTTTGTTAGATTTATTCCTAGGTATTTTATTCTTTTTGATGCGATTATAAACAGGATTGTTTTAAAAATTTCTCTGACAGTTTGTTGGTAGTTTATAGAAATGCAACAGATTTTGTATATTTTGTATCATGCAACTTTACTGAATTCGTTGGTGAGTTCTCATAACTTTTTGGTGGTGTCTTTAGGATTTTCTATGTATAGTATGGTGTTATCTGCAAACAGTGACAGTTTTCTTCCTTTCCAATTTGGATTCCTTTTATTTCTTTTTCTTCTCTGATTGCTGTGGCTGGGACTTCCAATACCATGTTGAATAAAAGTGGCAGAATGGGCATCCTTGTCTTATTCCTGATCTTAGAGGAAATTGTTTCAGTTTTTCATCATTCAGTATGATGTTAGCTGTGGGTCTGTTATATTTGGCCTTTATTACATTGGGGTATGTTCCCGCTATAGCCATTTTGTGGAGAATTTTTATCATAAATGAATGTTGAATTTTGTCAAAGGCTTTTTTTGCTTCTGTTGAGATGATCATATGACTTTTATTCTTCAGTTTGTTAATGTGGTGTATCACATTGGTTTGCAAATACCAAATTGTTCTTTGCATCCCTGGAATAAATCCCACTTGCTCATGGTGTGTGATCCTTGTAATGTATTGTTGAATTTGGTATGCTGATATTTTGTTGAGGATTTTTGTATGTATGTTCATCAGTGATATTGGCCTGTAATTGTCTTCTTTTATGGTCATCTACTTTTGGTATCAGGGTGATACTGGCCTCGTAGAATGAATTCGTAAGTGTTGCTTCCTCTGCTATTTTTTGTAATAGTTTGAGAAGGATAGGTATTAACTCTTCTCTAAATGTTTGGTCAACTTCATCTGTGAAGCTGTCTGGTCCTAGACTTTTGTTTGTTGGGAGTTTTATGATTACTGATTCAATTTCATTACTAGTAATTGGTCTGTTCATATTTTCTATGTATTTCTGGGTCAGTCTTAGGAGGGTGTACATTTCTAAAATTTTTCCATTTCTTCCAGGTGATTCTTTTGGTGTATAATTGTTCATAGTAGTCTCTTAAGATCCTTTATATTTCTGTGTTGTTTGTTGTAACTTCTCTCTTCTCATTTTTTTTTAAAAATTTATTTGTACGTTTCTTTTTTCCTTGATGAGTCCGGCTGAAGGTTTATCCACTTTGCTTATCTTTTAAAAAGATCAGCTCTTGGTTTCATTGATCTTTTCTATTGCTTTTTAGTCTCTAGTTTCTTTTTGCTCTGATCTTTATGATTTCTTTCCTTTACCAACTTTCGGTTTTCTTTTTCTTTTTCTAGTTCCCTTAGGGTATAAGGTTAGTTTGTTTATTTGAGATTTTTCTTGTTTCCTTAAGTAGGCTTGTCACTATAAACTTACCTCTTAGAACTGCTTTTGCTGTATCCCATAGATTTTGGATAATTGTGTTCATTTTCATTGGTCTCCAGGTATAATCTTGATTTCCTCTTTAATTTCTTTGGTGACCCATTGGTTGTTTAATAACATATTGTTTAGTTTTCTGTGCTGTGTGTTTTTTACAGTTCTTTTGTGTATTTGGTTTCTAGTCTCATAGCATTGTGGTTGGAAAAGATGCTTGATATGATTTTACTTTTCTCTTAAATTTACTGAGACTTGTTTTGTGGCCTAGCAAGTGATCTAGAGAATGTTCCATGTGAACTTGAAAAGAATGTGTGTTCTACTTTTGGGTGAAATATTACATATATATATATGTATATATATACACACAAACATATGTGTGTGTGTGTGTTTATTCTGTATATAGCTATTAAATCCATTTCTTGTAATGTGTCATTTATGGCCAGTGATTCCTTACTTATTTTCCTTATTTATCTCTGTCCATTGATGTAAGCGAGGTTTTAAAGTCCCCTACTCTTGTTGTGTAACTGTCCATTTCTCCCTTTATATCTGTCAATGTTTGCTTTATGTATTTAGGTGCACCTTTCCTATCCTCTCACATTCAGTCTTTGTGTGCCTTTAGATTTGATGTGAGTCTCTTTTAGGCAGCACTGTGGGTCTTGTTTTTGTATCCATTTAGCTACCCTATGTTTTTTTATTGGAGCATTTAGTCCATTTACATGTAAAG